TCTTTCTTTCTTTCTTTCTTTCTTTCTTTCTTTCTTTCTTTCTTTCTTTCTTTCTTTCTTTCTTTCTTTCTTTCTTTTGCTTTATGACATGCTGTTTAATAAGCAGCACACATGTTCATGCATTTTGTGGCGAAGGTTCAAAATTTAGTTTTCAGAACAAATTGTGTTTTTGCCAACTTTTAAAGCCGGTTTTGTTAAAATATGCAAATGTCTCTCAAATGCTAGGATAGTATGATCCTGATTGTTGTTGATAAAAATATGCATACTTCACACAGAAAAGATCACAAAAGAAAAATGCTTTTCAATGTTGTAAAGACTAAACTTGTAGTAACCAAAAGGGCAAATGTATTTTACTAACTCCAGGTCTAAATTCTGTGTTTTCAACTGGCAATTTATTTACACTGAAATTTGAAAAATAAAACAAATAAACAAAGCAATTTGTGAAGCTTAGCATTTTTCGGCCATTGCATGTACAAATTAAAACGATTTTTTTTTCTAGTCTTGCATTTAAACATTGTTAGGGCACTAACAATCTGAGGCTGGTGGTCTTCTTTTTTATATGTGAACAGCTACTTCTGGATGTCAGCAACAAATGGTCCACTATGAGAAGGAGCTATTTATAAGACTGAGTTTGTTGCAGCACCTCAGACTGAAGAAATCTTTTGGATAAAATAACCTTAATCGTTAAACATTTTGGATTTGTCTACGTGGATTACTGAGCATGCATCAGGACATAAAAATAATTTAAAAAAGAATACAATAATCCTCCAGACAGAAAACATTTGTGCCAGCAGGGGGCAGTGTTGTACAAGAAACGCTCGATTAGCGTGTTTATTTATTTAAAAAAATATATCTACGCACCACAGATAACCCTGCATAAACAAACTAAGTAAATAAACGCCTAAAGTTTTAGAAGCATTTAGCATATGCTCTGATATGCGGCTTAAAATATAAAATTTAGAATCGTGTTCGTGGCGAAAGTGCTCTTCGGGATTTTGATTGAGTCTCACGTGACGGTGTCAGCTGACCAAACAAACAATAGCGGAAGTAACGTTACTGTACTTCAGTCATTCAAACGTAGGTACCGTCTGCCTTTTCATAAGAGTTTCTCTTCATGGTTACATAGAAGCGTTTGTAAGTATCCTACAGTGTTTAAGAAAAGAGCGTTGTCCTTTACTTTTTTTTTTTTTTTTAGCTTTGACGTTAGCATACCGCTAATCTAAAGCTAATTGAGGAGAAACCCGGTGAGTAGCTAAGGAATAATCTTGAGTTGGATTGATAGTAAAATTCAACAGTTCTTTTAGTGTAATAATAATAAAGATGAGCTAGGTTGTGTTTATTTGTATGTGAGCGAGCGTAATTGTGTTTTTGTGCTGCATCATATTGTTGTTTTGTCACCCATTGTAGTAACACAAAGCAAGATGATATAGCATCACTAGACAGTTTGTTTTTGTTTTGTTTTCCAGCTGTTACAATGAAGAAAAGCAAGGGCAAAACAACCACCACTGCTGCGAAGGAGTTCTTGTTTGAATTTAGGGCAGGAAAACACAACTGTGTCCTCAAAGTGCCTCTACAGTTTCCTGTCCAAGTCAACATCGGTGACCTCCATGGGCGCCTTATGTTGCTACATAAAATACCCTGCTATGTAGAAAATGGTGAGATTATTCGTCCAAGTAAAAGAAAATGAGTTGTATGTGTTGTTTTGTTCATAAAAAAAGAATTAGAGCATTATCCTTTGAGCTTTTGGAGCTGCATTTACTTGAAGAAATCCTTTTGCTTCTCTATCTTTGTTTTTGTTTTTCCCTGCGTGACAATAACCACAGTTTTTAGCTTTCAAAAATGTAAAAGGCATCATTTTTTTACAACTAAATAACATTCTAGTTTTGTTTTATACAGTGTTTAAAAAGAAGTCAAAACACATGAATGGTTCTGAATTTATTTTCATTAAAAAAAACAACTACTTTTTGCGTTAGAACATAGTAGACAGAGATGAAAACACTTTACACTGCTGATTTATGCTGCTTGTGCTTCTCCTTTTTGCAGAGCTAAAAGCCTCACTTTCCACCTTCATAGAGAAGGAAACGATGGTGGATTACGACAGAGAGGCTGAACTGACTCTGCAGGGACTCACGACGGGAGACGTTGATGTAAACCAGCTTACCAGTGCATGGTCCAAGTCTTATCAAGAGGTGAAAATGCAGTTTAGGTTTTTGTGTATAATACAGTATATGATGTATTCTGTAGTTTTAAAAGCTAATAGTTGGTTTGTAGCACATATTTGCACATACCAGTATCTAAAATGAGGATGGACTTCATATATTTGGATTCATTTAACAGATTATGGATGAGGATTTATTTTATTTGTGTACACTTTTATTGCCTTGTATTGACAAATATAAGATAGATTTTTTTTTCTTTTTCTTCTGGTTGTGTGTGTGAGAACCAGTGGATGGATTTTAATGAAACGCCCAGAAAGTAATGGTTGGTAATTATTGTAGTCAACTGAATCAAGATGGCCACTACAGCTAATCAACCTTTAAAAATATAAAAATGGCCATAACTCAGTGAACGTTACAAATATTGAGCTTAAGTTTGTCCTGGTAGCAGATGAGACTGATACACAAACACCCCGCTACTCTAATCTTTAACTGATCAGCTCTACGTCTGTTCCTCAAACTTTGCTGCTAACTCAAATATGTTTCTTTTAGTAAAATATCTCATGAACCACTAGACATGTTTTTTGTGAATCTTTGTCAACATAATCATTAGATGCACAACAACTGATGAACTTAGTGTCAACTCATTTCAATGGCTGCCACAACTACTCAAACATAAAAATGTCTATAACTCAGCCAACTTGACAGTGAACATCGTTCCCAACACTTACTGTGAGCAGAACACGTTTCGCTACATCTTTATTAAAATCTTAACATCACTTGTTGAAATCTACCCTATTTGTCTGTTAGCAAATTATTTCATGAACCACTAGGCAGATTTCAATGAAACTCTTGCAAAATAAATATAGGTCGTGCATTAAAAGCTGGAGTTAGCCCTTTTTACAATGGCCTCCATAGCTAAGTGACTTTAGCCTACACAATAATGGCTATAACTCAAGCAATTTTGTAGATATTGAAGTTAGAATTTGGTCTGGTTGTAGCTGACAATCATTCACAACATGTACGGCAAACAGATCGCACATCCATCTATCCATCATCTTTACCCGCTTCTTCCTTTTTGAGTCACGGGGGTCACTGGTGCTCATATCCACCAGTGTGTGAGAGGCGGGGTACACCCTGGACAGGTTGCAAGACAGATCACACATAATACTGTTTTTAAGGTTTGACCAAAATATGGCTATAACTTTTAAATTTCTCAACAGAAGATAATCTCAGACTAAAACTCTTGCAGGAAAGGTGGTGGGTGATTTGCATTCCTTCAGAGAGTGCCAGGTCTTTAATTGTGCACATTTTAACCAAGTAAACCACACGGCTGGCTGTTATGATTTAAAATTATTTTGACAGAGTATGGCCATTTTTAGAAATCTGCTCATGTTCTTTTCTCATCTTCCAGTTTCACATTATATTTATACTTTAATGCTCTTTTATGGAATGACTAAAATATGTTACAGTAACAAAACACTATGTTTTCTATATATACACTAGATATTACAATTATAATAGAAAATAATTCTTTGAAAGATATCTGTTAATATTGTGGGTGACATGTTTAATGTTGACTATGTATTCCACAAGGTAACTGACAGCTTCACATCTTCTTAATTGTATTTATCTCTGTGTTTGTCTTTAGCACAGCTAAGTGTTTTAAAATGCTCCTTTCCAACTTTGGGGTGTTAATGGATTATTAAAGTAATTCAAACAGACATGGGGCTGTGCAACTGCAAATTGATTATTCATGAGTTCTAGAGAAAAAAAAAATCTCATTACTAAAGCCCACATGCTGCGTTTAATGTCTTGCTGGCCCATTTTATTCAGTTACACTTTGATGCACCAGAGATCCAATATGTGGTGGCAGCTTCACAGACTCAGGGACAGAGTCATCAGTTGTGTTTTCTGGATCAGCATGGGGCAGAACACTGAGTGTGAAGCTGAAACTGTAGTTTCATAATGAAATCATGGCGCATTGCTTTGAAAGCGGTTGTCTTGTATTTCTTGTTTGATGATGGTCACTGAGGCTACTGGGTTTTAAGTTTCAGGGTTCAGAAGCCTAAACTCTGCTGTCAGGATGTTACGCATGTTTAAAGTGTTTCGACTGCTTGGGGTGACGATGCAAAGCCCCTCTGTGGTGTTAGACTCCGATGTTTGGCACGATTTCCACGAAAAGCCAGAAATGCGCATTAAATTTTTCCCCATGCCTGATGTGTTTGAGGTTTAAGGATTTTGATTTTGCATAAACAGAGTTTTAGATTTTCATTAGCGTGCTCTTCTAATGATGGATGGAGAATATAACCTGGCCTAGTTTTCATCACCCAACAAGGAAAATCGAAGGTGTACAATGTTTTTGACCCTGTGTGTGTGTGTGTGTGCGTGACATGCATTCCTTCCAGGAATGCTGGGCCTTTAACATTTTTTTTAATCTTGTGTTGATTCTGCTGTCTGCCTTTTGACTTCCACCTAAAATGTAATTTTTAAGTTTTAATCATAAAATCAATTTCTCACTTGTCACTTGGGCAGTATGTCGTTATCCCACAGTTTTTCTATCTTTAGGCAGTAAAGCAGGCTCGGGTGGCTCAGTTGGCCGGATCGAATCTCATCCGGGGGCCTTTCTGGGTGCATTTTGCATGTTCTCTGCGTTTTCTCAGGGTACTCCAGTTTCCTCTCACAGACCAAAAACATGCATGTTAGGCTGATTGGTAACTCTAAATTGTTCCTAGGCTTGAGTGAGCGAGTGAATGATTGTCTGAATGTGGTCTTGTGATGGACTTGCGGCCTGTCCAGGGTGGCCCCCACCTCTCGCACAGTGGCTGCTGGATATGGGCACCAGTGACCCACATGAACCAAAAAGGAAGAAGCAGGTAGAGATGATGGATGGTGGAGAGCAGTGAAGCATGCCTGCAATATGGAACCTATGATTTGGCTTTTTTTTTTTTAAATACCTTTTTAAGCCTGTTTTATATGTACAGTGGTTGACCAAAATGGATTTAGAACATGTGCCTTTTATTGATTCAATATTTGAAGATGGAGATTAGAACACTGGTCTGCAACCTGTGGTTCTGGGGCCACATGTAGCTCTTTAGTCTCTCATCTGTGGCTCTGTGAAGCTTTGACCAAAACTTACAGGACATTTAGTTATTCTGGCTTTTATACCCACAACAAGAAAGGCTAGTTTTGGCTGTTTTTATGTTTTGGTCGATTTTCTGCAAATGTTTGAACAACACTACTATTTTTTGCTTCATCACTTCAAAGTGCGATACTTAATTTCTCCTCGCATAAAAGGCCACATAGCGCTACAGAGTTCAGTGTTTTCATTTTCATCTAAAGGTAGAAACTAGAAGAAGTTCCTCAGATAGAGAACTTTACTAATTGGCTTTTATGTATGTGAATGTTCCTGTAAAGTGCCCTGAGACAACTTTGTTGTGATTTGGTGCTATGTAACTAAACTGAATTGAATTGAATTGAATATAAGTTTTTACTTCCTTATATCATAGACTTATTTTTTGTCCCCAAAATGTAAAAAATATCAGTAAATAATATAAATACAGTTTTAAAATGTCACCCCTACTGGTCAGAAAAGCCCCCTCCAACTAACTCAAAGTGGCCCATGGACCACCAGTTGGTGATCACAGTTGTAGCAGGTTTCATGGCTCCAGGCTCTTTTTTTATTTATTGAGTGAAGGGTCAGACATGGCTCTTTTGATCAAAAGGTTGCAGACCCCTGGGCTAGAAAATATCAGGTTGGTTGCAATAAATAACCTTGCCACTAGGTGTCACTAAATCATCTGTACTGCACCTGTACTTCTCATGTTTCAGACTACATTGGAGCATGCTCAGCCTGAAGAGCCCAGCTGGGACGAGGACTTTGCAGATGTTTACCACGAGTTGATCCACTCTCCTGCTTCAGAGACCCTCCTCAACCTGGAGCACAACTACTTTGTTAGCATCTCTGAGCTCATCAGTGAGAGAGACATGGAGATTAAAAAGCTACAAGAAAGGTAGGCATTGGTGCCCCAATTTCTGGAATTTCTCATATACTTTGAAAAAGTTTCTGCTTGTATATTTTTTCAATTTTCCCTTAAGTATGACAACTTAATTTTCTTCCTGTCTGGTAGGCAAGCAACAGAAATGGACAAAGTGATGCATGAGCTGGGAAACACATTGAGTGACCAGGATGTAAATGCAGTAGCATCTCAGCACTTCGATGCACAACAGGTAAAAAAATGGAGGCTGAGCTGTAGTTTGTCACAATTAGAAGGAATACTTTAGTTCATGCACCTACATTTCCCAGGCCTTATTAAGACTGGTGAATGTGTTTCTTTTGGTCATATTAAAACTTGACTTGATGCTCCTTGGGCAGATTTTGGAGAACAAGTGGACGAGTGAGCTGAAGCAGGTGACAGAAATTCAAAAACAAGAGTATCAAGAGTGGGTTATCAAACTGCACCAGGATCTGAAGAAATCCAACAACAGCAGTCAAATTAAGTGAGTTCAACGTGTGTGTTAAAATGTTTTAACAATCTCAGAGGTTGTCGTGAATATTTAATATTATTAAAATACACTGTCATTTCTTCAGCAGTTTTAGCGTTGCTTCGGTTTAATAATGAGGCCAAGAAAGATGGCTGGAAATGCAGCGGAACAGATTTCTGCCCAACGTTGGGATATGAATTAACAACTCAAACAATAACAGCAAAATGGCTCTTACGATTCTAGGATTTGTAACTTTTAAACTAACACCGTGCGCGTCAGCGTAGATTTACAGAGGCAGCACATTAGGGTCAGGTATCCATTCCAGTTTATAAATCTGTACGGTTTGTTTTTGTTTCTTGAAATTGTAATCATTACAATTTTTTATATTTTTCATTTGTTTTCTTGGTTAGATTTAATTATTTCAGATTCGGATATAAATAAAAGCTTGTGGGTTGAATGCACAAGCAACAAATGACAGTCTCCGTCTCAATGTAAAACACAGCATGAAGCACATTTTTACACTAAATACAGTCTCATATTGTGCACTGCACATACTTTTCTCCAACTTTAACTTTACGTCTGATCTGGGCTTTTAAGTTCTGTGAAGCAAAATCTTTCAGGATTTACAATCAATAAAAAAGTAGTTTACTCTAATCCAAAAGGACAAGAAAACACAAATCTGTAGTAATACAAACATTAGATGCAACATCTTACAATACAAACCTTGACTCAATTCTAGGTCTTGTTTTCTGTGATTAAATAATAAAGTCAATTGGTAATAAATTCGTAAAACTCACATTTATAAAACAGAATGTTAAAAAGGAAATACAATTGGAAAAAAAGGGAATTTGAAATGTTATAACAAGAAAACCTATCTTGTTGGTTTTGTAATGTAATGAAAGCAGGTACTTGGAAAAATGCCACTTTCTCATGTGGACTTTGACTGGAGAGCAAAAATACTCTGATTTGTTATTTGATCAGGGATGACAGATATTTGGGTCAAGAAATAAATAAATATTGGTGGTTAGCAGTGATAACACTCTGTAAAGTGGTAATTAAAGTCATATTAATTGCAATACTCCACATATGTTGGATATTTAATTAAATCAGAAACCTGCAGGACCAGTTTGCTAAAAGCTCTCCCAACATTGTGCTGACTGTGCATTACATAGTAAGGTCTTTTTGCAGACTGTGGGTGGAATTTAAAACGCCTACGTCAGCACTCTGAATGCTTTAGGTTTACATTTTTAATTAATTAAACCATTAAAATAAGCGAAAAGAAGCTGCAGAATATTTCATGTTTAAAATTGTGTTTAAACTTTATCCAAAAAAGTTCAATCTGGTCCTCTGGACATTCAAAAAAACTTTAGTTTAAACTTTATCTTGTTTTGTTGTTGTTGTATCAGCCTTAGTCTAACCAAACCATTTTATCCTTCTCTGATTATTCTTATAAAATGTTAAAATGAGTCCTCTGTGTATTTTTTCATTTATTTATTTTTGCTTTGAGGTTGGGCTTTATCTTACTTTTAAAAATGTGCTATACTTGTGTTTGTATGTCACCTCATTCCCGTTGGCCATAAGACATAATGGATGAATCTTAGTTATGCATTTGATGGATATCCGGTGGATTGATCTGGTTGCGTGGTTGATTTCCAGTGAGGAGATTAAGGTGCAGCCCAGCCAGCTGTCAGAGGCAGCAGATTCTGGGACGAGGATGTTTGAGGAGCAGCCTCAGCTGGAGGAGAGCTTCACCATACACCTAGGTAAGGCGCTGCACTTCCTGTGTGTTATCTTTATGTTTACACATGACAGCTGGCAGTGCAATAAATCAGCTATTGTATTATTTTACTAAAACAACAGCTCTTTCTTTAACCAGGAGCCCAACTGAAGACGATGCACAACCTGCGCTTGGTTCGAGCTGACGTTCTGGACTTCTGTAAACACAGACAACACGGCAGCAGTGGAGCCAAGCTGAGGCGACTGCAGACGGCCCTTTCAGTGTACTCTTCCTCACTCTGTGGGCTGGTGCTGCTGGTCGATAACAGGGTCAACTCCTACAGTGGCATCAAGAGAGGTCAGCAGATACACCTGCAATAATGCAGCACAGGGATTATCGACAAAAAGTAAACAGTGCAGGGGTCAGCCTTTGGTCGGCCATGTTTCTATTTATGGCTAGCTTTAATTTGGTATTCTTTATTTTGAAATCTGTTGAACAGTTTTCCACTAGTGGGAATTGTGGGGTTGAAAAGATGGAAATATGGAATATCTTAACTCTCCAGACGTCTTGGCTAAAATGAGGGTAAATTTGGTTTAAAGCAAAAGTTTTGTGGACATCTAAATTTAGTTGTAGTCATTGAACAGACTTGGTAAGAAGAAGGCAGGAGTGGAACTCTGAATCTTTTGCATTTGAACACTTTCTGCACCGAGTTAACCTGTTTACAAACTGTGTCATGTGGTGCGAGCAAGTGTTTTGATTGGCTAAGGCAAAACTGTCAGCAATCTTTATAAGCTGAGCTACTACTGGCTCCTGTAGCAGATTGTGTAAATATCTAAAAATCATATAATTTGTGCTCCTGAAAAAAAAAAGTTCTTGCAAAATAGATGTGGCCCAGGAGCCACTGGTGAAGCACTCATTTTAGTTTACATGTTGTTTGCTTCTCTGTTCATAAACATGTGATTTTGTTTTGAGGAATTTTTCAAGTGTACGTCCTTTAGGTTGATTTTCAGGAACTATTTCATCCCTGGCCTGTTTTGTGTCGACCCCCAGACTTTTCAACTGTGGCGAAGGAGTGCACAGACTTCCACTTTCACTGTTTGGAGAGGCAGCTGGAGGAGGTGCAGCAGGTGGTGCTCTACGCCAGAGCCCAACAAAGCAGCAAGCAGAAAGACCACTCTGGTTAGTCTTTTTGTAAACAGAAAATTCAAACATTAAAATGCCAGCGTTTTCTCCACTCATAAATATTTAATACATTCACAATCTGGCGAGTGACCCGCATTCAAGACTGAACCAATGAATATTCTTTGCATGTCTAAAATACAAATATAAAGCTATATTTACTTTATTTTAGCTTTTTCATTTAAGTATTTTTATTATTGTCTTTTTTTTTAGTATAGTAAGCTCTGTTAGATTCAATTACACTTTTTGCTAAGTGCAGAGTCAACGCGGGGCGCTGACTGAATTTGCTGAAACTTTCTGATAAAGCTAAAACAGTGATGATCAAGCAAAAAAAAAGCACAACACTAGCTAAAAGCTAAATGTAGGTCTTAGCTTGCATTTTGCTCCATTTAGCATTTGGCTAGCCTTTTGCTCCTTAAAAGTTATAAGTAGCAAAATGCATAATAAAAGTCACAAAAGGCTGACAAAAGTTAAAGTAGAAAAATAGTTTCCAAAAGTTTAAAGTACGAAAAGCTAGCTAAAAGCTAACAATAACAAAAAGCTAATTAAAGCTGCAAGCAGCGTTGAAGGCCCTCGCAGCGAAGCGCCGCTGCGGCCTTATGGCGACCGCGGGAACTGCAGCGACCCTTCCCGGTCGCCATCAAGAACGCTCACGCTACCGTCACGTGCCCGTTCCCCGGAGTGCGCATTCGCCGAACCTTTCACATAAGCTGCGACCGCATATATAACTGTTGTAATAATATAGGGGGCGCACTTGAGTCAAATATTAAACAACAACACCACTGCGTCCATAAGTCCTCACTAGTCAAGCACCAAAAATCTGGTCCAGATCGGACAATATATCACTGAGCTATAACATTTTGATTTACCTAGGGGGCGCACTTGAGTCAAAAGTAAAACAACAATACCATTGTGTGTTTAAGTGCTCACTAATCACACACCAAAAATCTGGTCCAGATCGGATGACATATCACTGAGATATAACAGTTTGAATAATCTAGGGGGCGCCCTTGAGTCAAATATTAAACAACAAAATTAAAATGTCCATCAGCTCTCAGTAATGATGCACCCAAAATCTGGTCCAGATCGGATGACATATCACTGAGATATAACAGTTTGATTTATGTAGGGGGCGCACTTGAGTCAAATATTAAACAACAACACCACTGTGTCCAGTGTCCATAAGTCCTCACTAGTCAAGCACCAAAAATCTGGTGCAGATCGGACGATATATCACTGAGATATAACAGTTTGAATAATCTAGGGGGCGCACTTGAGTCAAATATTAAACAACAACACCACTGTGTCCATAAGTCCTGACTAGTCAAGCACCAAAAATCTGGTGCATATCGGACGATATATCACTGAGATATAACTGTTGGAATATTATAGGGGGCGCACTTGAGTCAAATATTAAACAAAAATAACAATGTGTCTAGACATGGTCACACATTATGCCATAAAAATCTGGTGCAGATCGGATGATATATCACTGAGATATAACAGTTTGAATTATCTAGGTGGCGCACTTGAGTCAAATATTAAACAACAACACCACTGCGTCCATAAGTCCTCACTAGTCAAGCACCAAAAATCTGATGCAGATCGGACAATATATCACTGAGCTATAACAGTTTGATTTACCTAGGGGGCGCACTTGAGTCAAAAGTAAAACAACAATACCATTGTGTGTTTAAGTGCTCACTAATCACACAACAAAAATCTGGTCCAGATCGGATGACACATCACTGAGATATAACAGTTTGAATAATGTAGGGGGCGCCCTTGAGTCAAATATTAAACAACAAAACTAAAATGTCCATCAGCTCTCAGTAATGATGCACCCAAAATCTGGTCCAGATCGGATGACATATCACTGAGATATAACAGTTTGAATAATCTAGGGGGCGCACTTGAGTCAAATTTTAAACAATACTAACAATGTGTTTAGACATGGTCACACATTATGCCATAAAAATCTGGTGCAGATCGGATGATATATCATTGAGATATAAGGGTTAGAATATTATAGGGGGCGCTCTTGAGTCAAAAGTTAAAAAACATTACTAATGTGTCCATCAGGGCTACATAATAATATACCAAAAATTTGGTGCAGATCGGATGATATATCATTGAGATATAACTGTTGCAAGATTGTAGGGGGCGCTATAGAGTCAAAATTTAAAAAAACTATACTACTGTGTCCACCAGGGCTAAATAATAATACACCATAAATTTGGTGCAGATTGGCTGATATATCACTGAGACAAAACAGTTTGAATAATGTAGGGGGCGCCCTTGAGTCAAATATTAAACAACACAACTAAAATGTCCATCAGTTCTCAGTAATGACGCACCAAAAATCTGGTTCAGATCGGATGTTGTATCACTGAGATATAACTGTAAGAAGAATGTAGGTGGCGCTGTTGAGGCTCTTGGCCACTTATCATGGAAACCTGTTCAGAGGTGGATAATGATCAATCATAGTGATTTTGGTTCATCTGGGTTCAAATCTGTGCAATTTAGAGCCAAACGTATTGCAACGGCGTCACTTTTTTATTCGCCATGGCGCCACGCCCACATTCTCCAGCTATAACTGTTTTGTTGTTTAAATCAAGTCAGACCATATTATCTGTCTTCTAACACAGGATCATCCTGATTATGTTAAGGGTGTCAAAGAAGGAACATTTCAAGCCAAAAAAGTCACTTCCTGTTCTGAGGGGGCGGGGCTTTGATGACGTCACAATATGACCTCAGGGTATCGTCGGGCATGGGAGAGGGATGACTCGTGCCAAATTTGGTGCAAATGTGTCTTTCAATGTGAAAGTTATAACGTTTGGAAATTTATGGCGTGAAGCTCAACTTTGAGGCCTGGCCACGCCCCTTTAACAAAACGAAACCCAAAGCTTTTGATAACTTTTACTCTCCAATGTCTTAAGGGCCTAATAACCAAGTTTTAAGTCAATCCTTCAAAATCCCTAGGAGGAGTTCGTTAAAATTTGCCGTTAAAAACGCCCAAAAATTAACCTTTGACCCAAAATGGCCGACTTCCTGTTGGTTTTGGACCGGAGCGCCAAGAGACTTTTTCATAGGTCCTGAGAAGATACACATGTTCACCGAGTTTCAGATTTATCGGTCGAAAAATGGCTCGGGGCTGAGGTTTTAAAATATTCTAGGGGGCGCTAGAGAGGCTATTGCGCAATCATCATGGTTTCCTGTTCAAGGGGCGGGCAATGATCGATCATAGTGATTTTCATGAACCTCGGATCAAATCTGTGGAATTCAGAGCCAAACGTATTGTAACGGCGTCACTTCTGACTTCGCCACGCCGCCACGCCCACATCCTCCAGGGGAAACGCTTTGCGCTTCAAAGCAAGTCAGACCAACTTGTTATCTGCCTTCTAACACAGGATCATCCTGATTGGGTCAAGAGTGTCAGGGAGGGAGCATTCCAAGCAAAAAAAGTCACTTCCTGTTCTGAGGGGGCGGGGCTTTGATGGCGTCAAAATTTGACCTCAGGGTATCGTCGGGCATGGGACAGGGATGACTCATGCCAAATTTGGTACAATTCTGTTTTTCAACGTGAAAGTTGTAGCGTTTGGAAATTTTTGGCGTGAAGCATAATTTTGAGGTCCGGCCCCGCCCCCTCAACATGCGTCGGTTTGCACCGTTTTGATAACTTTTGGTCCCCCATGCCTACTGAGCAAAATGGCGAAGGTTTGAAAACGATTGATCGAAATCCCTAGGAGGAGTTCGTTCAAATTCGCCGTGTACGAAAAGTGAAAAACGGCCAAAATTGACCCTTTGACCCAAAATGGCCGACTTCCTGTTGGGTTTAAGGCATACCTCCAAGAGACTTTTTTTCATGATTCGGTGGGTTCTACATATGTACCAAATTTCAGCTCTCTAGGACTTACCAGTTGTCATATCTCACGTTAGGGGGCGCTGTAGAGCAGTTTGGCCACGCCCACTTTTGGTTCCATTATCATACTACTATTTCTCGCGGGGGACAATTTTGGGTAAAGTTTGGCTAGGTTTCCAATATGTTAACCCCTCCAAATAAGCGTTTCAAAGCGGAAGAGAATTATAATAATAATTAAAGCTGCAAGCAGCGTTGAAGGCCCTCGCAGCGAAGCGCCG